ATTTGAGACCCCAATGGCAGAAGGTTCAGTGTCACACCAAATCCAGATTACCTCAGTACAGAAAATTGACAGAAGAGTGCTGTACAGAATGTTCCTCAAAAATATAATAACAAGTGATAAAAATATAATTATTCAGCTCAACCAATTTTTAAATACAAGAGTCCTCCATGTGAGGTCTTGCTAACTCTAAAGAATAAGCTTAAATAAACCAAAAAACCCACCTAAACATTCCACACTGACCCTCAACCAAAACAAGAACACCTATCTTACGGAGTCCAGCCACTTTACTCAGCCTCAAAAAAAGAGACAAGGACCTGGCTTTAATTGCAAGGGCCCTCAAGGGGTTCTTCTTAACTCTCAACAAGAAGCTTAAATAAAAATCAACCAAACATTTGACACAGACTCTCAACCAAAGCAAGAATACTCATCTTACAGAATCGAGCTGCTTCATTCAGTCTCCAAAATGAAGACCAGGGCAAGGCCTTATATGTTGTTGTTGTTGTTGTTAAGTGCCGTCAAGTCGAACATGACTCCTAGTGGCCCTATGATAAAATGTCCTTAACTCTGTTCTATAACTATTGTCCTTTATCTAAGTTCATAGAGGTTTCCAGAGGCATGTTGTTTAAGAAATGAATGACTCTTCTGCATTCCAAGCCTGTCTTAATCTTTGAGCTCCACCAACCATGTCATCCATGTCAAACATGGTCAACCATGTGTAACTATTATGGTATTTGACACACCAGTGACACATGGTTCAGTATCACAGTAACCCCAAGTTACCTCATACAGCAAATTAACAATGCTGTTCCACTTAGGAGAATGTTCATTTCAAATACAGTTTTAAAACACCCCATGCCTGTGCACCATGCTCTCATTGGCATTAACAAAAGGCTTCTGGCCGACAATTCCTTTTTAACAAAATCCATCTAGTCCAGTCAGCTCACACAGGATCGTAAACACAATAAAATCAACCAGACAGTCCATAGCCAATCTTCATCCAAGACAAGAACTCACCTTTCGAAAGCCACTTATGCACCTTCAGCTGAAGACTCAGTATTGAAAGATTAAAAAATAAATAGTTAATTTTAGTTTAGATATGATGAGAAAAGAATTGTGTGGATAAGTGACTGAATTAAAGGAAGAAGACATGAAAAAAGTTGGAGAAAGAATCATCTAGAGAAATACAAATTCGTTATAGTGGAATTGTATCTCCCATTTTTTTGTGGAGCAATATGGAGGAAAGAAGTTATTGTTTGAAAGGGTGGTGACTAATGGGAAGAGTTGTAGGAAGGACAGTCGGGAAACAGTGTCTAAAACTTTTTCACTAGGATAAGTTCATTAGAGTTAATGATGTTTTTCTAAGAATGCATTGAGGGTTGTTAACTGTTGTTGTTGTTAGGTGCTGTCAAGTCAAGTATGAACTATAGTGACCCTATGAGCAACAAATCTGAACTCTGCCATATCTTGTGCCATCTTCACACATCCTAACACACTAGAGCCCATTGAGGAAGTCACCATGTCAGTCCACCTGGTCAAGAGACTTCCTCTCCTTGCCTACCCTCTATCCTCCCGAGCATCATGTCTCTCGCCAAGGAACATACCCATCATGTCCCTCTTCTAGCAACATGCCAAAAATATGTAAGATGAAGCATCATCATCCTTGCCTCCAAAAGTATTCTGGCTACACACTCTCCAAAACATATTTGTTCTTTTGACAGTCCATGGGATGGTCTTCTTATTCTGCCATCTTCATTAATTATCCAGCTCTCAGAACCATAGCAAGTGATTGGAAAGACCATGGCCTGAATCAGACAACTTAGTCCTTAAACTGACATAATTAGTCCTCAATAATTTGGAGAGATTCCTAACTGCAGACTTTCCCAGTGCATGTATTTCCTTATTTCCTGACTGCTAATTCCAAGGATGTTAATTGTGGATCCAAGTAAGACGATGTTGTTGAAAGTTTCAATCTTTACTGCATCTATCATGATGTTACCTATAGGTCCAGTGATGAGAATCTTTTGTTTTGTTTTGTTTTGTTTTGTTTTGTTTTACATTGAGATGCAATCCCTAATAAAGGCTGCATTCCTTCATCTTCTACAATAAGTGCTTCAAGTTCTCCTCACTTACATTAAGTGAGGTTGCTTCATCTACTGCATAATGTAGTTTATTGATGAGTCTCCCTTTGATCTCGATGCCACATTTCTCCTTGTAGAGTCCAGCTTCTCGAATAATTTGCTCAGCAAATTGGATAGATATGGAAAGAGAATACAACCCTGACACACTCCCTTCTTAATTTTAAACCACGCATTTTCCCCCTGCACTGTTCACACAACACCTCCTGGTCCAGGATAGGTTCCACATGAGCACAATTAAGTGTCCTGAGATTTCCATTCTTCTCAATGTCAGCCACAGCTAGTTATAATCCACACAGTCAAATGTCTTTGCTTAGTCACTAAAGAACAAACAGACATATCTATTTAGAATAATTTTAGAATAATCATAGAATGATCTTCAACAGTATTTTGCTTGCATGTGTCATTAACGTTATTCTTCTATAGTTTCTACATTCTTTTCGATCACCTTTCTTGGAAATGGGAAAAAATAAAGACATCTTTCAATCCATTGTGCAAATAGCTGTCCTTCAAATTTCCTTGCATAGACTGATGAGCACATCCAAGGCTGCATCTGTTAATTGAAACAAGTCTATTGGTATTCCATCATTTCTTGTGGCCTTATCTTTTGCCAATGCCTTCAATGAAGCTCCCACTTCCTTCTTCATTACCATTGGCTCCTGTTCATATGGCGTTTCCTGAAACTTCTCAATGTCAATCAGTTCTTTTTGGTAAAGTCATTCATTGTATTCTCTCCATCTTCTTTTGATTATTTCTGTGTCATTCAACTTTTTGCCCCATAGCATCTTTGAATATTGCAACTTGAGGTGTAAATTTGTTTTTCAGTTCTCTCAGCTTAAGTTCTTCCTTTTTTATTCTCCAATTTCAGCTCTCGGCATATTTCATTATAATAATATTTTGCTTTGTTCTCCTGAGATGCCCTTTGAAATTTTCTATTTAGCTTTTTTGTTTTAGCACATTTTCCCTTTGTTTTAGATTCCCAAAGCTCCAATGCAATTTTTGTAGTCTCTTCTGACATCCATTTTGGTTTTTTCTTTCTCCTCTGTGTTTGTAATGATTTTTTTCCTTTCTTCATGAATAATATCTTTGATATCATCCCACAACTCATCTTGGTTTAGCTCATTGTTGTTCACTGCCTGAAACCCATTCCTAAGATGATCTTGAAATTCAGGTAGAATTGATTCAAAATCATATCTTGGTTCCTGTGAACTTACTTTCTTCCGCCTTAGTTTGGATTTGTATATAAGTAATTGATGGTCTGATCCCATAGTCCATCCCTGGCCTAGTTTTGACTGCCGATATTGAGTTGTTCCAATTATTTATTCTACAAATATAGTCAATCTGATTCCTATGCAGCCTGCCAGGTGAGATCCATGTGTAAAGCTGTCATTTGTGTCCTTTTAAAAAAGCCATATGTTGAGACTATGAAGGTATTCTTTCAAGAGAGAATAGTTGAAATCTTCAATGAAATTATATGGCTTAATAATAAAACCTTTCTGGCTGGTAGGTGAAAAAATGTTAGAAAAATATTTTCATAAAGGCTTAACAAAGCCTTAATGTCTATTCTTTATACACTTGCTGAAGAAGATCAAAGACTGCAGCCTTCAATATAGACTGTATCTCAACATCTAGAAGAAAAAACAATCCTCACCACTGGACCAATAAGCAACATAATGATAGATGGAGAAAAGATTGAAATTGCCAACAATTTCATCTTACTTAGATCAATAACCGATACACTTGATACCAGCAGTCAGGATATCAGAAAGTACGCACTGGCAAATTTGCTGTCAGGGAACTTTCCAAAATATTGAGGAGCAGTTATATCAGTTTGAAGACTAAGACTCACCAATACAGACTGACACAGGGGTTGTAGCATAGAAATGACTATAAAGATAATACAGGATGGGACAGTATTTTGTCCTGTTGTTCATATGGTTGCTATGAGTCAGAAACAACTCAAGAGCACCTAACAACAACAAGAACAAAATAACAGTAAAATTTAGCAGGAAAATGAAACAGATAATGTAAGATAAACAATTTTAGAACATAGCAAGGAAGTTTCAAACCACAAGCTTTCTATATCCTGCACCAAAGCAACGAATTACTGTTATATACCTAAATTGGTGAACTGAAGAAACTAGCCCTCCAAGAAGAAATGTATGTTGTACTTCTGAAAGTCCATTGTAACTTCATTAGAAAACTCATCTAGGATGAATAGAGAAAGAAATATCAGGAGAAAGACTGTACTATTTTTTTCAACAGTAACTCTTATGGCCCAAGTAGTGTCAATGGATGTTTCAACTAGTGTAATTTTTTTAAATGATGAAAGGAACTTAAGATATAGTGTATATTCTTTCCCCAAAATATTTCCCCCTCAAAGATAGGAATCTAAAGGTAAAGAAAATTAAATTAATATCTAGGATGGTATATGCAAAACTAAACTTTATTATCTAAAGTTTTGAACTTAAATTTCTGATTTGTTCTTTCTTATTTTTATCATGCTGCCTCAAAACCTGATTCTTTTAACACAAATGTGAGGACAAATACCTCATTTTAGGGGAAAATCCCGATTGCCCCTTCATGCTATACACCTGCAATTGTGAGAAAGCACATTTCAGACAGGAGGGAAAACCCACATCTCACCACATAATGTGTCGTAAGTTGTCTGACCCACTGGAGCATAGATTAAAGAGAACTGGTGTTGTTGAGTGAGTAGGAGGTAAGAGGAAAGGGGTGGAGACAGTACAATGGATTATAAATGCTGAGAAGATAAAGATACCCAGACTAAAGGGCTTCAGCGAAGACTCTCACCGCAGTTCAACTTAATGTAAGCCTTACCAAGGGAACTTGAGCAGATCGGAGATGCATTCTGAAGATTGTTCCATAGGAGAGAACAGTTCCTCACATCTGGAGAAAGGAGAACAAAGTAAGTCAGGTCAGGTTTTATTGTTTATTTATTGATAACACATATGATGTACAATGGTACATAGTTATGGGGGGGAAATGAGATTGTGTCTTTTGGAGAATTTAGATTCTATTTCAGAGAAGAAAGAGTGGCTGAAACTAGAAAGGAACCTACTATGATGACTTGCAGATCTCGGAGATATTTTTCTTTGTCTCAGTTAACATCTCAAATTTTTAGGAAACGAAAATGCTATAGTGCAATACTCTAGCCATTGTTTTGCCATAACCACCTGTCCTAAGAAAAATCCTCTGTACACTTGGAAATATATATGCTTAAGTACTTAAAATGCCCAATGGAAATTTACTAGAACAATGCTATTAAATAATCTTTTTAAAGTAAAATCAATATTCTTGGGGGCCTTCTTTCTCCTTTGCATCCCCTGCCCTTCATTTCATTCATTATTTCTCCTTTCCAACCACTGACTTTTATTTCTATGTGAATCAGATATACTTATCATTTTATTTCTTATTAATTAAAATATTACCATCTTAAATGTATACCTTTTCCTCTCTTTTATCTATTGATTCTGTTCATTTATCTATTGCATATCCATTAACAGAATTTGTTCCATTGTTTAGTTTTATCTTTGTCCTGTGAGATTTCCCAAGTACTTTTTTTAAAAATGATTTCTCTCTAACAAATGAGATACTTCAGAACATCAGCACTTAGGAATTAGAGGGGATTTTGTGAATAAGGCTTCTAGAAATAAAAGGGCAAATTAGGAAAAAAATAGACACAGAACAATCCAGGAGAAGGGATTTTCTAAGAATGTGTCTTAGAAGCTGGTTTGCTGTAGAAGAGTATTAATCACCTCTGATAAGTTTGTCTTTTGTTTACTAAAAGAAATAAAGTTTGGGTAACAAGGAATCAGGTGAGCTATGAAGTTGTAAGAGCCAAAGAGAAAAGAAATAAATCAGTAACTATTAAAATATTCCATAAATAGCATAGTCAAAAAAGTACCTTATGCAGGAATTTTACCAGTTCCTGAAATTAACCAAATCTTTTTAGTTATTAGTTTATGCTCCCCTTATAGTTGCTTTATTAACATAAACAATAATTGAACTCCATCCTTGGATGATTTGGTAGGAAATAGGTATGTTTATTTTCAACTTCTTCATTAAAGAACAGAATCTGTATTCTGTGGGGAAGCTTGCTGTGGGGACAGTTGTTTTGTAACCCCGGTGATAAACCAAACTGTGGGTAATAATAAAACCAAGCCAAATCAGTTTCTGTCAAATAAACTCTGAGGCATAGCAACACTATGTGTTTTAATAAAAGTGTACGTCATAGAATATTAAAATACTATAGTCTTTTGGAAGCAGACCATTAGACCTTTCCTTTTAAAAAATGTATTTTTGTTTTATATTGGTTTTCAAATAAAATCCATGTACATTGTGCTTCATTCATATAAACTGTGTTTCACACATTCCTTCATTCACATAGTGTTTCAAATGATCATTCCCATGTATTGTTTTATAAAACTAATCACCATTGGCCTAAGTCCGCTACTATCTTGTCTTTTCAGGTCCTCACTGGAATCTTCCTAATTCTTTCACTCCCTCCCTCCAATCATCAAGTTTTGCAACCTTGTGATTTTCCTCCTCCCCTCTCAGTCTCCTTGTCCCCTTCCCTTTCCCCTTTAGACTTTTGTACACATATTACTAGTTATCCTTCTGTTTTTACAATGATGGTCTTATACAGACCTTTCTTTTAGGCACTTCTGAGGGAATTCAGTCATCCAATTTTTGGTTAACAACTGAATGTTTATCTGTTTGTAACACACAAGGCAACTGCAGGTACCAATTGCCATCACAAATAGAGATAAAGTGCCATTCTGGAAGTCATCTCCTTAGCTTATCCACTGGATTTGTTCATGGGGTGTTAGGCTCTAAAAAGCAGGAGTATTTGCCTGAATAATACTTCCTAAGGAAATAGAGTTGTTGCTGCATTAAGTCCATGCAGCATGAGTGGCTCCCATACAGAAAGAAGTGAAACTAGACAGAGCTCTGAGCTTGTTACTTGACCCAGGAAAGACAGCTTCCGGTGGGTGATGCAATTAGAAGTGGCCAAGTAAAGACTTCTCTTCCAAAATCCAAATGCAGATAAATCTATGTGAAAACATACCCCAGAAGATGCAAAAGTTTGCAATAATAATTTTCTATTACAGAAAGTAATATTTCTTTGTCCATTTTAACCTTAGATAAATGCTAAAGATTTCAAGGCACTTTCTATGTAGACAACAGGTCTATTTTTGTATTTTATTGTCAGTCAAGGTATTATTCATATATTTCCATGTTAAGAACCTAACAGGGAACTCCATTTTTCTTGTGAGCTCAAATTGTCTTTTTAAAAAATCCTATTAACTCACTCTTGCAAATATCAAATGTAAAATATGCCACAAAACCATATTCTCTCTCAAATATGTAATATTATGATTAATTTGTAATTAAGAATCATCTTAAGATCATATGCCTATTCCAAAATCTTCCCCAGCAATTTTCTTTCCTTAATGATGAATGAAAACTTTTACTTTGTTTCATCATTATATACTCAATATTTCATTTACAAAGTTATTTTCTGATTATTTTAACCTACCTAAGAAAAGTGAAAATATTTTCATGTACATGAATTATAATTTAGTAGGATACGTTTTTCATCTAGTGAATGTACAAATAATAAATGTACAATTTTAATGAATTATTACAATTATATAACTGTGGGCTGGGGGTCAAATTCTCTCTCTCTCTTTCATTGCTATCAGTTTGGAGTCAACTCAGCTTACCTTGGTTTCTGTTGTTGCTTTTAGGTGCTGTTGAATTGAGTACAACTCATTGTGACCCTATGAACAAAAGATGTGAACCCTGTGCTATCCTGTGCCGTCTTCACACTTTCTGACACATAAGAAACTCATTACAGCAGTCACCATGTCAATCCACCTGGTGGAGATTCTTCCTCTCTCTCTTTAACTAATCATCCACCTTTCCAAATATCATGTCCCTCTCTAAGCAATAGCCCCTCCTAGCAATATGCCCAAAGAGTGAGAGGTGAAGTTTCATCATTCTTGCCTCCAAAAAGCACCCCGACTGAACCCTCTCCAAGACATATTTGTTTGTTCCTTTGGCAGTCCATGGGATTATTCAGTGCTCTTCTCCAACACAATAGCTCAAAGGCATCAATTCTTCTTCTGTCATCCTTAGTCATTGTCTAGTTCTTATCCATTGTCTAGATGCATAGCAAGTGACTGGAAAAACCATGGCCTGAATCAGAAGCATGTTAGTCCTCAAAATGACATCATTACTTCTCAATAATTTGAAAAGGTCCCACCTACAGATTTTTCCAGTGCAATGTGTTTCCTTAGTTCCTGACTGGTACCAAGGGAGTTAATTGTAGATCCAAGTTGCTGTTAAGAGTTACAAACTAAACTGACAGTTTGTTGTGTTTGGAAAGAACATTGTTCTAATTGGTGCAGCACTTGTCTGTCAGTTTGTTGGACTGAGGTAACATGGGGTTGCTGTGATACTGAAAGCTATGCCACTAGTGTGTCAAATGCTAAAAGGGTAACCCATATTGAGCAGGTTTTAGGAGAGCTTCCAAATTAAGACAGACTAGAAAGCAAAATTGGCCATCCACTTCTTAAATAACAGATCTTAGAAAACCTATGAACCACCCTTGGTTTTTAAGAGGCTGTAAATCACATGGGAAGAGATTACAGGAAAACTGGAAAATTCAAACTGCCCACCTTTTGGTTGTCAGTACAATTCCCTGTCCAGTAGGCTAGAAGAGCCTAATTATCATAGATGATATTGCCATTAACTCAGATTAGCAGTATAACTCCCATACCACCAGAGCTCCCTGTTGCCGTTAAGTTAAAATGTTTCCTGATGTCCTTTTTTTAGATTAAGGCTGTCATATAAAGTATATAGGGGGTTTTTTGTGACTAGATTTTTAAAAATTTAACTTAATTTTTTTTTAGTTTTATCCATGTTCTGACTTGCATGTTCTTCCTCTCCTTTAAAAAATTGTTGTGTTGAATTTCCTTTATGGATATACCATAGTTTTTTTTTAAAATACTTCTTTTTCATTTGAATGAAGGCTTACAAATCATATTGGTTTTTCATACACTCAGATACACTATAATTTTTTAAATCAGTCTCTTATTGATGATTAATTTGGTTATTTCTGGGATTTGGCTCCATGAATAAGTTTTCTAAAAACATTGTTGTACAAGATTTTTGGAGATATGCTTTCATTTCTCTTGGGGGAAATTACAGGCTTAGAACAACAGAATCAGTAAGAGGGTGTACAATTAATATTATGAGACAATTTAAAAATATGTCTACATTATACGGCCATCAGTAGTATACAAAGTTGTAAGTTGCTTAATATCTTCATCAGCTATTGCTACCACATGTTAATTTGGTTTTAGTCATCTTAGATACAGATTTTGTTTATCAATTACTATTTTCTTTAGATTTATTAACCACATTTACCATCATGACATCATCCCAAGCAACAAATGACTGTAAGAGTTAAAATTTTTTGTTAGGATTTTATTTTCTATGTTTTCTTCAATAATGTATGCTTTGGTCATTATAGTAAAATGATGAAATTATGATAAAATTATAGCTTGAGTAGTTACTAACCATATATACTCATGAGATGCGTTAAGATCACAATATTATTTCTGGATGGTTTCCCTCCTTGTCCAAATTCACTCAAGAAGAAAATTAACTTTTGTTTTGTACAGAATATGAGAAGAAACAGAACTATATTTTTTAATACCTCAAGAATATATCAGATGTTTTTGTCTTACTTCTAAAATTGTCTGACAGCATCACCAACTTTCTCTCTTTCAGGTAATGCCACTAGCTCCTATTTTGCAACATACCATGAAGGTTCAATTCAAGTTCCTATTCCATGTGCGGTAATGAATGTGGTCATCATCATGATTTTAATAATAGCCCTTATTTCCTTGTCAGGTAAGTCAGCTTGCCATGAATTCATTCAGAACCCTATAGCTCAAATATGTACCATCATTGAAAGCACAGTGATTAACTTAATCTAATTAGTCAGAAATTCAAAGCTACATAGAATCATTGCATTTACCAGATCTGATTAATTTCCTAATCAATACTAGTTATTGAATACTTACATTTAAGCAGATGCTTAGATGAAGGGAATTTATTTGAATTCTAAGTAAATAGAAACATTATGAGCTTCACAATCATTGTTGGAGGGGAAACCGTATCTAAGTAATATATTTATAAGGACTTGTATAATCTTTTGTCCTTTCTCTAAAATGTCATCAAATGGCCAATGGATAATTAAGATTTTAACTAGAAGTCCTTAGAGAACAAACAGTGGTTATTACAAGATACATTTGTGTCTTTAACAGATAAGTAATTTGCAATTTTATCAAACACACCCAGCCATACTTTTCTATGATTTAGTTATCTGAAAATTCCTCTTTCCTTTGTCAATTTATTGTTTTATCTGTTATATCGCCCAGACCGTGCAGAGCAAATTTCTCTCACTTAGTATTAAATTAAAACTTAACTTAGAATGTATGATGCGCTTTATCCTTTCTAGTTCAAAGACTAATTTCTAGATTTTTCTGAGGGACATTTCTTTTTTTTTAAATTTGTTTCCATTTTATTATTTGTGTGTGTGTGTGTGTGTGTGTGTGTGTGTACCGTCAAATTGGATCTGACTGGTACAGGAGGAGATTGTCCCTCCTTCTCCAGCAGAGCATCTGTTGGATTTGAACTGCTTACCTCTGGAATTGCAGTGCAGTTTCTTGCCACTAGGCCACCAGAGCTCCCTGAGGGACATTTCTTATATCACGTCTCCTACAAAATATAAGGTTTAATATAAGGCATAATAGAAGATCAGAAAAGGGGAAAAATCGGCTCTCTTCTTATTCTCAAAATACTCCTTCTTAGTTCCTATACTTTATCATCTAATATAGCACAGAATTCTCTGAACTAGTTTTTCATCTTGGGGGAATTTAGTTCCTTCTGTTACTAACAAACCATTTTTCTGTTCACAGTGGGAAAATACAACTGTCCTGACCCATTATCAGACACCCCTGTTTCTCAATGCTCAAATGACTGGATCCAATACCAAATGAAGTGCTACTTTATCTCCAGTATGAAAGATACCTGGACCATGGCACAAAGATTTTGCTCTAAACACAAAGCTACTCTAGTTGTCATTGATTCTGAAGAGGAGATGGTAAGATAATAGTATTCAACAACTGTTTTATAAACTAATGATATTTTTTTGTAGAGCTAATCTGAGTTCTTACTTTATTTCCTTCTAAGAGAAGATATTGCACTTTTCTTCTTTCTATTGTTGTTGATGTGTACCATCAAGTTGAAACAGACTCGTAGCTGACTCTCCAGTGGGTTTTCATAGGCAATAAATTACAGTGGAGGAGATCATCCATCTTTCTCCCAGCGTGCAGCTGGTGGATTCGAACCACCACATGCCTTCTGCCTGGCAGCAGAGCTCCTTACCACCAGGCCCCAGAGCTCTATCTTCTCTTTATAGAGGAATCAAATCACAGAAAGCTATGTTATTATTCTGGTCAAAATGAGACTTCAGTTTAGCCACTTAAATTTGTTTTAAACAAAATAATAAGTGATCACATTACCTATGATCTAACTGGGACATCTGATAAAATAGATGTATTATTGCATAACCACAGGTGTCTTTAACATATACTTCCTTTGGCTTTTCTCAAGATCTTTCTGAAACAATACGTGGATAAAATGAAATACTGGATTGGGTTGAAAAATGAAACTAGTCAGACATGGAAATGGTCAAACAGCAATGAATTTAGCAACTGGTAAGTCCCCTGAATTTTCTTCTACATCCATGATTGATAACTCAAAGAAGTCATTTTTTTCTACTTTCTTTTTTATCCTTCCCTCTCCTGCTTCCAAACCTGTGTTACAGCTGGGAGCTCCACCACACTGTCCACACTGGAAAGGCAATCCGGTATTTGGTACCCCACTGGTACATGGTTCAGCATCATAGCAGCCCAGGTTACTTCATATTGCACATTGACAAAGAGTGATGTACAAAGTGGAAGAGTATTCCTCCATATAAAACAACACTAGTGTCACTTAGCAGTGCTTAAGTGTTGTCAAGTCGAATACGAGTGAGAGTAAATTTTGCACAAAAGACCTAAACTCTGTTCAATGACTAAAATAATTTCTGTAGATAACTCTGTTCTATAACTACCATCATTTCTTTTCATTTATAGTTTAGAGAGTTTGTAGAGTTTCCAGAGGTATCTAGTTGAGGAAGTGGATGCCACTCCTGCTTCTCAGCATAAATCAATCTGGAAGCTCATCCAAACACTGTACATAATGGGTAAATCATTATGGTATTTGACAAGACTTTAAAACAGTATGGAGCATCACAACGACAGCAAGATGTTCAGTTCAGCAAATATAAAATAATAAATAATAATAGAAATATTAGAATAGTTCTGACAATTTCCTTTGTGTCTTTATGCTATGGAATTCTTTAAGAAATGCCTTTATTAATTTTTCTTTATCCTCCTTGAATGCATATAATCAATGCTTCTAGTTCTGTTTGTAGAAACCTTGGTATCACAATGATGAAGCATTCAGCTATTAGTGAAAAGCTGACATCATCCTGCCGATGGCTTTGAGGGAAAAAGATTGGCTATGCATCCCACTAAATATTTCAGCCTAGGAAATGCTAGGAAGCATTTCTGTTCTGTTCTGTAAAGTTGCTAGGAGTAACATTCAACTTAATGACATATAAGAACACCAGTCACATGCTTAGCCAATTCTAGTTGGAACAATAAACTTAGTGTGGTGAGTTTGGAAATAGTTTAGATATAATTTCAATGATAAAAAAAGAGAAACATTTCTAATTTCATAATTATAATTTGCTGATGAGATAGTTGTTGGAAAAGAGGTATTTCTTGTACTTTCTCAGTTTCTAGTTGTAGAGGAATAAAGAATAGTATTTTCAGTACCAAAATCAAGGGTCCTGTGAAGCTGAGAAATACTTGCACCAGAATTAAAAATACTGAATCCATTTGTTTACCAGTATTAAAAAGAAAATTGACAATTTCTAGGGAACTTTAGCATTTATGTTCATTCTTATCATTTGAACACTCAGTGGAACAAGTTTCTAGCTGTCTAAGCAATATTTTAATGATTATCAGTGTAACAAAAAGATGAGAAATGCAAGTTTCTAGAAAAGAAGTAATTTATGGTCCCATATTCATGAATGGACTTCAAGGGTCAAAAATCCCCTAAAACTTTACAAAGAAGCATGCTTAAATGTTGCATGTGTATTCTTTTGGGAAAGTATCCCTCATAAAGTTTGTAAATTTAAAAATAGTCAAGAATGACTTCTTTGGTGACATAGCCATCAAATAAATAGAGACATTTTTACTCTTAATTTTAAATCTTCCTACACATTACTCCTTTGAATTCTGTCCTGTTGCCTCTGTGGATGAGTTTATGATGGTTTAGATCAGTAGTCTTGTATCTAGGAGTACTCCTACCAAGCCAAAGACAGAGACCAGTATGATGACAGAATTTATTCTTATGTAACTGAAAGGATATGACTAACTGGAAATAATTCTAATTTTCTTTTGAAAGGTTCAACATGACAAAGCCTGAAACTTGTCCATTTTTAAATAGCACAGATGTCAGCAGTGCGGACTGTCAAAAGCCTTTACACTGGATATGCAACAAACCCTCCAGTTCATGAGGATATATGTTTGCTTATAGACTCTCAGGAACTGAGAGTCAGTTCATCAGAAAATGAATGATACTAGATGCTGCTTTACAGTCAGAAGTTTTTCTTAAGGATATTGTTGAGGAGAGATAATGGATTTGTTTTGGAAATCTTTTTCAAGAATTATTTGAGAAGAAGGATAGAAGTTCCGGAAAAGCTGGCATTGTGGAATATTTCATCCCTTCTTGGGAAACAGTATTCGAAAACCAGACCAGAGAAGAAGAGCAACAAATGCAAAACTTTCCAGATGCACTTTACCATTTAAAATCCATAAAAATAACTAAAAAAATCTAGGCTTAATGCTATTATTTATTGTTGAGTGACCACTGATAGTTAGTACCCTTCATAAATTTGCACTATGTGAAGGAGGAAGGTAATCATAGCAGCAAAACTGAATGTAAATTAAAAAAATGTTAATCAGTAACATAGATACTAAAACACATTTCTTAAATCCAGAGAAAAAGTAAAAGTGGACAAAAGTCTATGAAATGAAACTTTGAAATATTTCTCTTGTAAGAGAATTTTAAGTTAATTTTAAATTTAAATTAAATTTAAGTTACTTTGTAAGTTTTATTCACTTTTATTCACCAAAAAAAGTCAGATATTCATGTATTTATTTTTTTTGTTGGTTTGTGTTATTTGTTTGTTTTGTTTTCATTTGCTCAATATAGACTGATCTTTTTTTAGTAGTAAACGTTATGTCTTTAAAATTTTACATGCAACAGTTTCCAAGAAAGGACAAAGATAACAAATATGAAGAATATTTGAAAAATAGATGAAAGTGTTGAAAATGTGAAATACATGTAGTGGTAATTCCCTAGTAGAAAAAAATTTGTTTTGTTCAAACCTGCAGTAATACTATTCTTGTCTGATGATAAACACATACTGTCTCAGTTCAGTTTTGTCATGTGCAATATTTCATGTGAAATATTTTCTATGTGCAATATAATATTTGTTTGTGTTTTGTACTGTTACAAAAAATAATTATAAACTGTTTTTAGGTAAGCCAAAATAAAATGAATACAAATTATTTCCAAGATGCGTTCATTTCTTCAAAGTTCTTTAAACATTATAGAAATACTAGAAAGCACCCAAAGGGCACAGCGGTTAAACACTGAGTTACTAATTGAAGAATAAAGGTATGTGGTTGGAACCCACTAGTAAATCTGGAGAAAGATGTGACAATCTGTCTCTGTAAAATATTATAACATTGGAAACCTTATGGGGCCAATCTCCTCAGCTTGTAGGATGTCTATGAGGCAAAATGGACTGGTCATCAATGGTATGATTAGGAAATCAGAAAACAAATTCAATAATGTAACATTGATAAAGATCATGATAGGAGATCGGGAGACATATTATGTTGGGAAAGTCAGTCAGCAGTTAGGGCCCTCTCCAAATTACTGAGAAGCAATGATGTTAATTTGAGAACTAAGGTGAGCCTGATTCAGACTGTGGTCTTTCCTTCACTCACTATGCAACTGAGAACTTGGTAATTAATAAGGATGTCAGAATAAAAATTGCTACCTTTGAGTTTTGGTGTTGGATGGGAGTACTGAATATATTCCTTGGACTGCCAAAGGGACAAACATATATGGCTTTGAGAAGGTGAAGCCAAAGGGCTCCTTGGAGGCAAGGATGGTGAAACTTCATCTCACACACTTTGGGCAGGTTGCTAGGAAAGGCTATTCCTTGGAGAAGGACATTGTGCTTGGAAAGGTAGAGGGACAGCAAAGGAGAAAATGGCTCTCAACTGGAAGGATTGACACAGAGACTGCAGCAATGGGCTTGAGTCTATCAGAGTTAGAAAGGATGGCACAGGATAGGGCAAGGTTCAGATCTGGATAGCATCGCTATGAGTTATGCTCATCAACCCAATGACTCCTAACAAAAACAACAACAACACAAATCATATCTATAAAACATGTAACATAGTTTATACTTTTCCAAATTGTTTCCACATGTGTATACTAGTAGACTGTTTCCATTTCCCTGTATAGCTTACTATAAAGACTCTAGTTAAATTGGGAAGAAATTATGATAATATTTTTGCATTTTTTTCTTACTGTTTTCTCTATTTTTATTATTTCTCATCCTCACACTGAAAGAGCGCATGAAAGAAGACTTCTAAAGTCAAGATCTATCCTCTTATCAATAAGAAGATAAGTAGACAAGTAGACTTCTAACCAATAATCTGAAAGCATCCCATTCATTTGAAGTGCTGTACACTTTTTACTTTACATGAAATTATTAATTTAATAATTAAGAAAATAATAAAAATTAAGAGCTGCATGATCTTTATATGATATTTTAAATAGGAACAACTTGACTACTTTCAAAAGAGTTTCAAATGTGTTCTTGATAGTCTCCTTCTCTAAAAGTTGGAAACATAGAGCGTGTATGATGTCTTGAAGATGTCTTAAGCACATGATAGTGAAAAGAAATATGGATTCTAGACAACCTGTATTATGGTAAATAATACATAAGTTTATTTTGACTCCTATGTTCTTCATTTCTTATAGTTGTAAAATGAAGCAACTTATCTTCTAGTTATCAATAATAGTAATTTACTTCTAGATCATGTTTAGAAAATTAGAGGGTCAGTAAAAGAGAGGAAGACTCTCAGCTGATGGATTGACACAGAGACTGTAACAATGGGCTTTAGTACAATAAAGATTATGAGGATGGTACAGAAGAAGGCAAATTTTGATCCATGGGCTCACTGTAAATTGGCATTGACTGGATGGCATTTAACAACAATAACTCTTAGATCATACCTGTGAGTAAAATGTATTGTGATTTATGTACTATAAAATATGTAACTAGAAATTTTAATCACTGAGAACTCGGTTTCTGAGCACATAGTCTGAGTTTGATCTCTACCAATTAACATCTGAGGAATAATGGGCAAATAATTTTCCTGTATTCAGCTTATGCATCTATAAAAAATGAAAATAATAATATGAAAATAGTAATATTGCTTTTATATTAAATCAATAAATGAAATAAACTTAGTCTAGTACTTATTTCATAGAAAATACAAAAGAAATATTAAATATTATTACTTTTAATATTAATGGGAAAATATTGCATTAACATTGAAGTTTTTAATATAATTTCTACATAGCATGTCTGTTTTTATGTAACATCTCATTTTTATTTTCTTAGTAGGGCATCTCTTCAATTTAAAAAAAAATAAATGATTAAAGAATGTTTATGATGTAGTGAAAAACATATCAGTTTCTTCATAAGAGAAAGATGGGCAATCACCTGCATAGATTTATAGTCTTTGAAACCCAGTGAAGGGCAGCTACTATTCAGAATTGACTCAATGGCAAGGGGTGGTAAGGACAGTGACAGACAGACAGGTCCTTGGAAGTCACAATGTTTCATAGTCAACTGCTACACTAAAAGTTAATGATTCTAACCCACTAATAATCCAAATAAATGATGAAAGAAAGTCTAACCATGCTTTTCCATGGGAAATAACATCCTAGAAACCACATCTGGGATCTCCATGACAAGAATACAGTGATGAGGGGGTTTTTTTGCTTTATTTTTCTTGTGTGTTTGTTTTAAGCTTTACTTCTTACCTTGATAAGTAGCATAATTGAAATACTGAGAATATTTGTCATGGCAACCAATCTGTGCAACTAATATTCTGTTTAATAGTAAATATGTATAACAAACTATGATTGAAATTATAATGGGGAAATACTATAAATATAGTACTTACTTCTGTAATCAAAATTTAAATTCATTTTAAAAAATGTTAAACTAGTAGATTATGTTCACATTGGATAGTTAATGATAATGATAATGGCTATTTTTAGGCTGGGAAGATAAGCAGAATGGCTGGATTCTGCAAAGGTGTTTTCTGGTTTAGAGTTGAGACTAGGGTGTGGCTCTTGCTCCCAACAGGGTATGAAATGACTGGATTTGGATCTCCAGAATAAAACAGGCTTGGAAGCAGGAGTGGTGTACACACACACACACAATATCTTGCCCCCGGACACTACGAACTTGGAGAAAAGATGAAAGTCTTGTGTTCAAGACTTTCGTTCATAGGGTTGCTATGGGTCATCTACAACTCTACAGCACTCAACAACAACAACAATGACAATTATAATTTATTTGTGTTTTATGTTGATTTTTCATTATAATCTCAATTTCTTCCTCTAAAAGAAGGCATAGCATGTCATCTGCTTTTTTGTTGTTGTTAAATACATATGCTATTGCTGTTAGTCATCAGAACAACAGATCTAAAATCTGTCCTATCCTGTGCCATCCTCATTATCTCTGACAAACTTGAGCTCATTGCTATAGTTACTATGTCAATCCAACTCATTGAGGCTATTCTTGTCTTTCACTGGCCTCCACCTTTCCAATCCTGATGTTCCTGCCATGGGGAGGACTAATTCCATAGGAAGAATAGACCTTCCTAACCACATGTCCAAAATATATGCGATGAAGCTTCATCACTTTGCCTCTAAGGAGTACTTTACTTTGCTTGAGATGTATTTATTCTTTTGTTAGTTCATGGAATAAAAGCATCAATTCTTCTTCTGTAATCTTTATTTACCGGGAAGCTCTAGTGGCTTAGTGAGAATGAGTCCCAGCTGCTACGACCAAGGTAGGGAGTTCAAGTTCACAAGCAAATCCACAGGATAAAATTGAGTAATCTCTTACCATACCATTTACATCCTCTGAAAACCCACTTGGAGCGTCGGATATGAGACTGTTCTACCTTAACAGCACATAACACATGTAATTATAGTAATACAATGAAAATTAAAAGTACTTTGAAAAGGATAAAATACCTTTGCAATATCAGATATTATAGTTAGTATTCAATTAATTCAAAATTTTTTAAATTAATGAAATAGGAATGATATGATAATATTTTACAACTGATGAAAAAATATAAATGACAATCTAAAGAAATTCTTAGAAAATACATGCCTGCAAAGTCC